TAACTGCAGAGCAACGCGTGAATTCTCAGAGCTCGAATGGACAAACACAGACAAGATTACTTCAAAATACATGATAGCTTGGCGAATATCATCGAAAGCAATCGTTTATGTCTCTGAGGTGGATCATTTTGAACATTATATTGGATTTAAACATTAAAGCGACTACATTTGCCATCTGTCTTCAATGTTAATCCATAATTAAACAGAGAAAATCATTCATTTGTCTTGTCTGCTTTTATTTATTTATGTGTTTGTTTGTTTGTTTATTTGCTCTAACAAGAATAAATATTGAATGAAAACTATGCAATGTTATTTTACATGCAATTCTTCAATTTCTGCATCTAAACATCTACAAACCTAAATCCTGCTGTTTTATGCTATTATTTGCAATTTGCTTATTGCACAATTTAACTGGTATCTACACTTTTATTATCATAATAAACTTGTTAGTTGGAATATAAAATTACAGCTGACTAAAGGTTCATACAAGCTGTTAAAAATGCTTGAAGTAGCCTACTTTGACTTTTTGAAATGTAAAAACCCTTGGAAACAGCCATTGAAAAGTGAAGATACTTAAAAGTGCTTCAACTGTTGAAAAACAATATATATATATGAAATTACTATACAATTTTTGCCAATGACAATTTTTGTTGTCATAAAAAGCTTCTTCATTACAATACAAAATAACAAGGGTTTATAGAAAATATTATGAAAACAATAACTGTTGTACTTTTTTAATCATTATATTGTTTATATATTATAATTGTTAAATAACCATTTAACAAGTGACCTAATAATCAATCATTACTGCTTAAAATGTCAGTTGAAATTTTAACTCTTAAAGCATGAAATAAGATACAGAATAAGTGAATTTGACTTTAAAGTGGGTATATTATCAGTAAAGTAATCATTAAACATTTGTTATAATTCAATACAAATATTAATCATTTATATTAATGTGATTCAGAGATTCACTATGGCACTAATTGTAGAACATTGATGTAATTTTTCACTAAACTCACAGCAGTCATGTGTAGCACAGGCTGTCCAGTGTTCGATCAGGTCTCCACACCAGATAATAATTAGGATCCAGCCCCGGACACCAGATCCCGTCAGAAAATATCAGTTTGTCCCGTAACAGAACAACTAGTCAGCAGAGCTGTAGTCTTCTGTCAGTCAAGAAGTTGACCGAGAAAAGCCAGAGAAGAGCAGAAGCAGGAGACAAAGTGATAATGGTAAAAAGTAATTGTTTATTGAACAATCATAGTTGCGTATGTCTCAATGTTCAAACTTCATCTGACCAGCACAAATTCAACATGTACTGTTATACCAAAACTGCTTCACAGCAACATCTCATAAACCTTGGGTTTGCATAAACATTCCCTCTTATCTATCTCTTATTCACACAGACAAAACAGTTCATGAAACCCCACTGTAGACTGTGTCATACATCACTGAACACCTGATAGCTTTCTAAATGAGTTTGAGCGGGCCTGTCAGGCTGAAGATGTCATCTATATTATGTTATTGTGTGGGACAATGGTCAGTTTCCATCATGCAGAGCTGGTTCAGGAATGGTTCCACCCTCGCTTCATGACCTTTGCTCAACCCAACTGAGGAATTCTTCTCTGCATGGAGGTGGAAGGTGTATGATCGCTATCCCCGTGAGCATGTCACCTTTCTTCATGCCATGGATGAGGCTTGCAGTGACATCACTGAGAGCAATGTCAAGCCTGGATTCATCATGAACAACGAGGACATCCACTGTGATGTTGATGAAAATGTATGACCAAAAGTTGAAAGAAAATCGTACTGCTGGGTTTTAGTGATTAAACCAAATGTTCTCATTACATATCAGAATGATCTTGTGTTTTGAAACTTGTGTTTGTGTTTGTGATTATGTAGAATGAAAATATGTACAACTAGAATGAAAGCATGAAATCAGTATTTGAAAGAATGACTAACTGTGTTGTAAGTGTGATCAGTTTGGAGTTTTGTGCTAATGTACACCTGGAAATGTACACCTTACTTGTGAAACTAGTACCAAAGCAAATATATATATATATTAAAAAAAAAAGCTGTAATATGAGATATAACAGCTTGAAATGTCATGTCATTTACACATTTTAACCCAAATTATTACAAGCTGTAACCTAAAAATAAAAACAAGTTCCTCGGTTAACAATTAAATGCATGAAAATAAAAACAGCAACTTGTGACACAGAATGACAGAAAAGCACAGAAACACATGGTCACTCAGCACTGCTCTCAGTGTCTATGTGAGGATTTATTACACACATTTATTCTGACATGTTATTACAGTGACAGAAGTTCAGCTGCAGTATTACAGCTTTTAAAATGGCTTACAATTACTGAAACGAAGGCTTATTTTCTCTGAACACCCAAGACATGTACACAACATGCAAAACATCATGCATCTCTTGCAAAAGCAAACACTTCTTTTAAAACTATTTTAACTTTATGAAAATTGTGTTTTTGTATTGTAACTACACACAAACATCAAATGATTAGTACATAAAACATATGTGGGGAAAAAAAAAACCTAAGCATCATCTCTTCGTCTAGCTGGATCTGGCTATTGCACTTCGTCCACATCACAGGCTGTGTCTTCTCACCAGACAGTGACAAGTCAGGTGTGTTATTTTGGAAAGCACCTTGAAATCGAAGTGACATCATGATAGATTTCTGTATCTAATGTGGAGAAGTTTGTGTAAAATTGATATCAATGAGTTAACTGTATTTTACATTTTTTTTCAGCTGCTTACACACATTTTCAAAACTGTGCCTCTTTTTTTCAAAACTTTACTCACAAATCCAAGGGCCTCATTTATAAAATGTGAAATGAAATTTCCTTGTGGCAAAGTCAGAGTACTGCAGCTATTTGAACATCTAAGCTGCAATAATAATAAAAGCGGTGTACGATTGTTATTTTTTTATTATTTTATTTTACAAGAGAACTTGTGAAGTCTTGGTTTACTACTAATGCGTAAAATAGAAAAAAATGCATAAATGCATCTCTGACTGTTTTGTCTGTGTAGCCTGTTAGAATAGGCCTATGTCGTGCAATAACAGTTTTAATATATTCTATTCAATAATATTGTTAACTGTTTTTATTTATAACATCTGCTGCTTTGCTTCTGGCACATTTGAGCAGCTTTAGTAAACTGTGTAAATATGAAAGAAATGCTAAATCACATACATTCTTACTTTTGGAAACCTAATGGTTTTATAATTACTATTATTATTATTATTATTATTGTTATTTCTGTTCTTTCTAGAAGTAGTAATTTTGATAATAGTCAATAAAAACAAATATAACCATACACACATTGTTTGTCCACAGAATAATTACACATTATTAAATAAAAAGCGTCCCGCACGAACCTCTACCTCCGCCAGCAGGACCTCAATTTCAGACTCAGTAAAGTTTTGTTTTCTTTGTGCTCGTCATTCTCAAGCATAGGAATTCTGATATTGGCGTGTGCTCTTTTATATGGTAATGATATTAATTAGGGGGCGTTTACAAGGCGGAGGTCTGACACCAGACAGCTGCACACAATTTCAAGATCATTTGCGATTTATAAATGTCACATCTTAAATATCACATCTGGAAGAGAGGCGTATGCACTTGTTTTTGTGTGCACGATCGTTTTCTCTGAATCGCACTTACGCACTTTTGAGAAATGATCTTTGAACAAATTTAGGACGGTTTATACGCAACATTTTATAAAGGAGGCCCCAGGACTTTACCTCTGTCTGAGATCTTCTTGAGCTGCTCTTTGCAGAAATCCTACAGTTTGTCTCTCAGCTGACGGACAGATTCTCTCAGGCAATCAAAAGAGAAGAGAGAACTGAAGGGATCGTCATTTACGTCTGTAGATTCAGGAGGTGCTGAGAGAGACTGGAAACTCTACAGAAAACAGAAAGCTCTTGTTGACTGTCTGATTTTAGTAGCTCACCTCAATCCAGCACTTTCACAGCATCAGCTTCATTCTTCTCACATTCATTGTATTACATTAGAGCTACAGATTCCAGTATTTGCCACTTACACTATATGTGAACTTTCTAGGAAATTAGCACATCAATAGAGTCTCATTGTAGTGATGAGTAGGTTTGCTCAGGAAAAGCAGATCAAAGGCTATGATTGGATTGACCATTATTTATAAGTTTAGAGCGGTTAGAGACACTGAATCTTCCCAAGGACCCTTAAGACAGGTTAAAATTGACATGTTTTTGACGTTCCATACACAAGCAATCAAACGTCTTGTTTAGCCTACATTTCCGTTTTCAACATGCAGGACAAAAAATATTGTTTATAGACTACAACTTTAATGAAGGCTACTATTAAACTACTATACAGAATAGTGAATATAATGCATATTGGGGTGAATATTTACTAGTCGCCATAATACCTAACTTCACCAGTAGCCTGGATTAGATTTAAATAAGTACATTATATTACTGGATATGCAAAAAGCCTAAAAGAGCTAAAAGCCATTTGTAAGCAGCGTCTCTTTCAGAAGAAGATGATCAGATGAGAGTCTGACTGATGATTATATAATAAGACTAGGGCTGCCCCCTAATAAGAAGATGATCAGATGAGAGTCTGACTGATGATTATATAATAAGACACTCATGAAATGTTTCTCTGTGAGTCTCCTGTCACAGCAGGATCTGCTCAAGTCCACTATGATCCTGTTCTTCTAGATCTCTGTTACCTGCAGGAACTGGATGTGATCCTGTGTGTGTGAAAGCTGCTCCAGCTCAGCGTCTCTCCTCCTCAGATCATTGATCTCCTGCTCCAGTCGCTCCAGTCGTCCTTCAGCTCGACTCACTGCAGTCTTTTCCTGATCTCTGATCAGCCGTATCAGCTCAGAGCGGCTGCTCTCAATGGAGTGGATGAGCTATGAGCTCAGCCTCTCACTGTCCTCCACTGCTGTCTGTGCAGAGCACTGTTAGGACACACAGTGATTCAGGCTTCAGTGGGACTGAAAGAGGAGAGTCTCTGAACTGAGACCGAAACAAACTTCTCTTCTTCTCCAGACTCACCTTATGAGACTCCACAGCCTCTCTCATCTGCTGAAGATCTTTCTCTCTCTGCTGGATTCTCTGCTGGAGCGTCTTCTGCGTCTCCTTCAGCTGGTGCTACAGGACAAACGGATGATAGTGAATCTCAGAGAGAACTACTGTGATATATGGGAAAGTACTAAATTAGAGGCAGCGTGATTCTATCTGAATTGGTTCAGGTATGGATTTATATGTTGTGGGATGTATGTTTTAAATTGTGAGTCCTGTAATTTGACTTGTTCTTTGTATAATAGTAAAGCGCCATGAGATCACATTTTACAAGGATATATTTGGCGGTCCTCATCTATGGTTCAGGTATGGACGTTGTTAGAGTAGTAAATGTTTGTAAATGGCTTTCTTGATTTCATTATTGTCTTTCGTTGCATCGCTGACACTTTGGGTAAACCCCTCTTTACTCTGATACTGAAGCCTGGTTTGATAACGTTTGTGTAGCTGCACAAACCGATGATGCTTTCGCCTGCGAAAAGGGGAGGAGCCAGTGGCTATATAAGCCGGCTCAGAGCACCATATCATCAGAATCTTCTCCTTCAACGACGAGAATCATCTCTTTGCTGACTTTGTGACAGAAGCCGAATAAGAAAATGGAAGAAAGAAGCTCAGCCTGCTCACTGCCATAGAAAGAGCCCCCGGCAAAGAAAGAAGTTGCGAGCCTTCCCCTGCAGCCATCCGGTGCCCTTAAGAGCATTTCTAAGCAATTTCCACTGCAACGTTGTTTCAACGCGGCATGAGACATGAGTCTCTCCAGTCATCGCTCATAGATCGTCCTTTTCCACGAAGGTGGTCCTCCCTGTCCTACTCTCCCGTTCCCTTTCTTGCCTTCAAGTCTGCATATCCCTCCCTGCCCTGCAGGATGACATCTGCCCTAGCCAACAGGGATTATGCAGCGTCTGGCCAGGCCAGATTGGCAGAGCATACAAAGGTGGTACTTCAATTTTTTCAAGCCAAACTTCTCCGTGATATGGATTAGAGTCTGGTCATGATCCCAGTGCATTCAAATAGCTGTGCACGGTGACAGATCTGACCCTGTGCGCTACCAAGGTGCAAGTGCAGGCTATCAGCAAGGCCATGGCCAACCTGGTGGTGTTGGAGCGCCACTTGTGGCTGAACTTGATGGAGATCTGGGACACTGAGAAAATGGCTTTCCTTGACTCCCCAGTCTCTCTAAAGGAACTGTTTGGCCCTGCCATCGACGGGTTCACTGAACGCTTCTCAGAGGCATAGAAGATTTTGCAGGCTCTGCGTCACTTCTTGCCTAAGCGTCCTAGCACACCTCAGGCTCCACAAAAGCCAGAGGCTGGGCTTCGACAGCCCCCTCAGATAACCAGGATGTACCCCTTCCCAAAACGCTGAGGTCCCCGCCCCCATGTGACGTTGGACCCTGAGCCTCAGAAGCCATCCTGATCTGAGCGCAGAGAGGAAGAGGAGAGGGCTTCTTCTCTCAAAAGCCAGAAATCCCTTGAAGAAAGCTTGTATTTCCCCTCCACTTCTTCGAACAGTTCTGAGCAGTGGAGATTTTCAAGCCAGGCACGTCCTTCAAGTTCAGCGCATGCCTTTACAACCTACCGCTGTGATAGCGGACCCACATACACAAAAGAGAATTTCTCCTCTTCCTGTAATCACAAATGCAAATGTCATTTCCCGGCCCCTTCAAGGCAAACTGTCATATGTAAAAACAGAACAACTGGCCGCCTGATTCTTGGCTTGGAAATCCATTCCCGGCATGTCAAGTTGGATTCTAAATAGAGTATAATAGAATGAGGTTACTCGCTTCAGTTCGCTCGAAGGCTGCCTCGCTTCAGAGGTGTCACTCAAACTTTGGTACGGGACAATGTTGCTCATGTTCTTTGGTCTAAAGTGCAAACACTTCTGGCAAAAGGTGACATGGAAATCTGCTTTTACAGCAGATACTTCCTCGTCCCCAAAAAAGATGGCGGCCTGAGACCTATTCTCGATCTCAGACATTTGAATCGTATTCTCATGAGACGGCCATTCAAAATGTTAACTTTAAAGCAGATCCTAGCGCAAATATGCCCCAGGGGCTGGTTTTTAACAGTGAATCTGTAAGACGTTTACTTTCACATCCACATAGCCCCCCATCACACACCATTCTTGAGATATGCATTCTTGGTTGGATTGAACAACCAAGAGTATTTTGATCCCCAGACAGTGAGTTACCTTTCTGGGAATGATTATAGACTCAGTTTAAATGCGAGTCTGGATTTCGTATGGACGATCCCTGAATATTCAGCAATTGGTGGCGTCATTCAAATTGGGGACTTCACATCCCCAAGCTTGGCCTCATGTCAGCTACCTCCTCAGTGATTCCTCTGGGTCTGCTTCATATGCAGCCCCTTCAATATTGGCTCATGATTCACATCCCGTCCCACGCCTGGTGCATGGGCTGATGTTATGTCAGGTTAACCCATCACTGTATCAGAGCTGTGGCCCCCTGGACAACTTCACGCCTGTTTCTATCAGGCATCCAACTGGGACTATCCTCCAGAAGGAAGGTGATCACGACAGACACTTCCAGCTTGGGCTGGGGCATGCTGTTTGAGGGCAATCCAGCTTTCGGCTCCTGGTCAAACCAAGAGCAACGTCTACACAAAACAGACTCCTCTCATTACGGGCGGTTCATGTGCCGGGCAGAATGAACCAGGGAGTGGACATGCCGTCCAGAGGCAATTTAGCTCCAGTGGAATGGAGACTACATCCTCAGATGGTTCAAATGATTGGTCTGTTTCCAGGGAGGCAGAGGTGGATCTCTTTGCCTCCGAAGACAATTATCACTGCCAAATGCATTTCTCAAAGCAACTGGATGCTCTGACCCACGACTGGCCCAGTGCCCGCTTATATGCCTTTCCCCAATCACCCTGCTTATTCAGGTGGTCAGAGGGGTAAGGGAAACGAGATGCTCACTCCTCCTGGTGGCCCCATTCTGGAAAAACCTAATTTGGTTCCCAGAAATGATTCAGGTATTGTCTGCAGCTCCATGGCCGATACCACTAAGGAGAGATCTTCTCTCGCAAGCAAGGGGCATGAACCTTCATGTCTGGCCCCTCGACGGGAGCCTACACAGCTCCCCGAGAGAGTCACCAATACCATTTTAGAGGCGAGAGCTCCATCTACAAGACGACTTTACGCCCTTAAATAGTCAATCTTCCATGACTGGTGTTCTGCACGAAGCCTGGACCCGAATTCTTGTGATGTGTCTCACGTGCTAACATTTTTACAAGAGCTGTTGTATAGGGGGCGCACCCCTTCCACACTCAAAGTTTATGTGGTGCTATCACAGCGAATCATTCCCTCTTAGCTGGCCAGTCAATAGTCAGAAACGACTTGCCATTAAGTTTTTAAAAGGAGCTCAGAGACTAAATCCACCTCGTCCTTAAACTGTTTCTATCAGGCATCCAACTGGTACTGACCTCCAGAAGGAAGGTGGTCACGACAGACACTTCCAGCTTGGGCTGGGGTGCTATATTCGAAGGCAATCTGGCATTGACATGGGACTTGTCTATAGTCCTAAGGGCCCTGAAGGGCCCTCCTTTTGAGCCACTTCAAACAGTTGATCTACGCCACATGTCACTCAAGACCGCCCTCCTTTTGGCTTTAGCATCAGTCAAATGGGTTGGGGACTTGCAAGCACTTTGAGTTAGCGCTTCCTGTCTGGAGTTTGGGCCTAACGGCTGTAAGGTCATTCTCAAACCGAGATGCAGTTACGTGCCTAAGGTGCTCTCAACTCCATTCAGAGCCCAGGTCATTACCTTGTTAGCACTCCCCGTGGCGGAAAGTGAACAGGGTCCCAACTTATTGTGCGCTGTTAGGACACTCAAGGTATCTGCTGAGCGCTCTGATCTGTTCAGACAGTCAGATCAAAACACTTACTGTTTTTAATCTAGCTTAAAAACCTACTTTTTTGCGTTTAACACTTTATGAGAGCTGCTATTTTATTTTACATTATTCTATAATATTTCATAATATTTTTTAACTTTGTTATTCTGTTTGTCATATTGCCTTATTCATGCTTGTACAGCACTTTGGTAAACACATGTTGTTTCAAAAAAAGTGCTTTATAAATAAACTTTGACTTTGAATTTGACTTTGAGATTATCTCGCTGGATAGTGGATGCTACAGCCCTGGCTTAAGCTGCGGCTGGCTTGCAGTGTGACGGGCCATTCTACTAGAGCAGTGGTTCCCAATCCCAGTCCTCGCGCCCGCCGCTCTGCATATTTCGTATGTTTCTCTTATCACGTACGACGTTTGTTCTATTCAACTGTAAGTGCCCTGCGAAGTAGACATCACCGGATATTCAGCCATGATTCCAGTTCGAAACGAGCATACATGTTCCATACAAAGGGCATTAAAATGTGCAAGACTTGAATTTAAATAGTATTTATTTACAGAGGTATGTTATGTCACACTTCACACTTCTCTAGTAAGTTTCGTCTGTGTGTGAAGACACTGCGCAGCTCAAATCCGTGAATGAATAAAACTTCAACGGATTTCCCCTGCTTAGGGAGTAGGGAGCAATGAACACCGTGTAGGGACCATGTCAATCAGAACACAGTTCGTGTACGTAGCTCACTTCTAACGAGCTGATGATCTGAATCAGGTGTGCTAACTAAGCAAGACTTGCAAAATGGAGAAAGTCTTTTGTATATGTATTTTTTTCTGTATTTTGTCTTCTTTGGTATTGTCTTTTATTTTGTCCTGTATATTTTTTTTAATTGTATTTTCATTTTGTATTGTTTTGCCTTGCCTGTTTCGTTATTGATGGTAATGACTATATTTATACTGAGGGGATTCTTTTTAATGTAATGGCACTGGGCAACATGCAATAATTCCCTTAAGATTTCCACAGAAGTGTAACTGCAGTGTATCACATGAAGGTGTGATTACTTGATTGTGTGTAGGGAACTATAGATTGTTTTGGGTTTTGTATTTAAAGGGTTTATAATTTGCCTTGCCTATGTGTATTTTATTATGCTTTTTTTAATTTGCTTTGTTTGAAGTTAAATTATTAGTAATTATATGTATGTGGAAGTGTAATAAGAAATAAAGTGTTATGTGTTTTGTACACCAGCGCCCACCTTTATCCTTTAATTAGGATAAAGTATCCTAATTAAATAAATCTTATTGGCCAGTTGCATGTCTGCATATTATCTCAGTTATTGATAGTTTAATCAGATATTTCTATATTTCCGGGTCTATTAAGGGCACCTGAGGGCACACTACTATGAACTATGAATCCAGTAAATGAGGGTGAGGCAGTTTAAAGGTTACTTATCTGAGATGATAATCAGTGGATGTAGTTTCTAATTTTAGAAGTGATTATTGGTTACAATCATTGTACAATCATAGAATATGTGAATAGTTCACTCTATTATTTTATGTTGCTCAATGGTGACCTGTTATGCCCCTTTTTCCAAGATGTAAAATAAGTCTCTGATGTCCCCAGAGTGTGCATGTGAAGTTTTAGCTCAAAATACACCACAGATCATTTTTTATAACTTGTTAAAATTGCCACTTTTTGGGTTTGAGCCAAAACGCACCGCATTTGTTCCTTTAAATGCAAATGAGCTGGTGCCCTCTGTCCTCTTTTAAGAAGAGGGTGGAGCTTCAAGAGCTCATGCACTGGCATAACGGCAAAACAATCTCACGCCCTGAAAATGTCAAATTCAAGGGGTCGACTTCACATTGCTTTCATGTGCAATTTTTAAACACCACATTCCTATTTACAATCATTCTGGTAGCACAGAGCAGATTCAGGCAGAGATAATGGTAGCTTTAGCAACATTAGCCTTACAGAGTGCCAAGAAGCTCTTTCAGAAAGGCAATTTGTAAAAAGTATGACTCCTATATTCAAGTCAAGTCAAGTCAAGTCTGCTTTATTGTCAATTCTTCCACATGTACAGCACATACACACAGAGAATTGAAATTGCGTTAAGACAGATAGACGCGACGAATACGTACAAAAGCACTGCGACTCACAAGACAAAAAACACGAAAACACCTTTCTGTCGGGAGAGAGAGAAGCCGCAGCGTGTGAACGCGCCGCCATCTTGAGGGATTACCTCAAGATGGATTCGTTGGTGCATCCCAAAACACAACACTTGTAATGGCTCTTTGGAGCTGACATTGTATCTCCAGCAGCTAACGTTACAGCAAGAAAACAGTAATGGCGGACTGCTGCTTCTCACTCAGGACTGTGTCTATGCTAATAGGGCAGAGAGCATCACAAATGGGCGGGACTTTTTCCCTAAAATGAGGTGTATGTAGGGAGAATCTGGAATCGCTTGTTCTGAGAGACTGAATGATTTATTGGGATAGTAAAAAAAATGAGTGGGTGGATTTTTACCATTATTGGCTGGTTGTTTTCACACACTGCAGCAACACAACTGTGTTCAAACACCTTATATTTTTGCATAATACGTCCCCTTTAATCAAGGTCTATTTTAAAAAAGATTGTGTTGATACAGGTTTCAATGTCAGCAATATTTCATCAGTGTCTTGTGTTAAATACCTGTTTCTCTGTCCTCTGATCTGCAGCTGATACAGTGTCGTGGTTTTTATGTTCAGTAACCGTACACAGCACACATATACACTTCTGATCAGTGCGACAGAAAACCTCAAGGAGCTTCTCATGTTTCTGGCAGATCATCTCCTGCAGTCGTCCAGTGGCTTCAATCACACTGTGTCTCTTTCCTTTAAACCAGCTCTCATGTTGTTCGAGGTGATTCTGACAGTAAGACTCCAGACACACCAGACAGGACTTGACGGCTTTGTATTTTCTTCCAGTACAGACGTCACACTGCACATCTCCAGCTCCAGCGTCACAGTCAGCAGAGAGTTTGGTCTTCTTCAGTTTCTCCACCACTTCAGCCAGCATGGTGTTTCTAGCTAAAGCAGGTCTTGGACTGAAGGTCTGTCTGCACTGAGGGCAGCTGTAGACTCTCTTCTCATCCTCCTCATTCAAGCAGTCTGTAATGCAGCTCATACAGTAACTGTGTCCACACTGGATCGTCACTGGATCCTTCAGGAGATCCAGACACACTGGACACGTGAACTCATCCTGAAAAACTCTGGCTCCTGCCATTTTACTGCATGCATACAGAGACACAAACACAGGACAGCTCAACCACACTTTCACTTTCTCTTTCCCTGAACTCATGTGATTCCTGTTTCCTGGCTCTGTGTTTGAGTGACATGTGTAAAAGAGGCTTGTCTGTGAGTCTGTACTGCCTTCTACAGACTGTACAATTTCAGATAATCTTATAAAATCATTACAAATCACACTGTGGATCTAATAAATTTTCACCATGTATATAGACTGTACAGTGATGACACCTATTGAATCGTAGGCTACAATGTAAGTTTGTATAGAAGAATAAAACGTCATCAGCATGCACTTATGGTAAACAAATAGAGTAGGTGAGTCACGCATTGGCAATTGTGGTTTTAATGTGTACTGAAAAAGAAGTGGAGACTGTGAATTCTACATACCGGTATTCATTTTAGCTCTTTTCACCTCCATTGCATTTCAGTTTTAGCACCATTTTAGCACGGTAGATGTAGGTTTTAGCAGCAAACACAATCTGATACGGTCATCCTAAATTTCTGACACTGCCATAAAATGTTTACAGGCTATCTTTGGTCGCAAGATCATGACAACAACCGTCTTTGAACCTCTCTGACAGTGTAAGCTAGGTTACTAAAGCCCATATCAAAGCCTGCAAAAATAAATAAATAAATAAATAAGATGCACATGTAAACAGGACATTATGTGATTTATTGTAGTCTATAGATGTACCAAATGATTCATTGATTAAAGAAAATGAGCAAGGAACTCAATCTCAACATGAAATGATCAAATCAATACGGGACGCGATTTGTCCCATATTTTACAAAGGCCAACACATAGCTGAATCAACAAATAAGTATTTTGCACTGTTTATAATACTAATAGCAATTATAAAGAAATCAATTTCATAAGAAGTATTAGAGAAGGTCATTTGTGCGTGATTGCATTTTGGTGTCTTTGTTTCCATAGCGACGGAGTCTCCAGCTCCGAAGGGTTGAAGGGTGTAGGGGACCAAACAACTGTTTCTTGAAGTGCCCTTCTGCGTCATCATCACGTGCCCATATGGAGGCGCCATCATCATGGAAAGAATCAGCGCAAAGGATCATGGGGCCCGAAGTGTCCATCAGTTGTACCCTTCGAAATCCTGCATTCCAAGTGGCCAGTTTTGAGCACTTCGGTTTGGAACGACACTTCAGTATGGCAGCCATGATTGTTTTCACTCTGAAGTGCCCTTCGGAGGGCGATAAATCCCATTCGGATCGCACCGTGTTTCTATAGCAACCGGGACTACTAACGGCAGCTGCAGTGACGCACTGATTTTACCAATTAGCGATTGGCTCTTTTGCTCAGAAGGCGGGGCTTCGTTCAATAGAACGGCCATACTGAGTGTTGCATCTTTCCCCATTCAAAACAATGCGAGTGACACGTCTTGGGTATTCTATAGTCTTTGCTTTCAGTTGCTCACGGTGGACTGTCTCTCTTAAACGGACAGTTCACCCAAAAATGAAAATGTTGTCATCGTTTATACACCCACAAGTTGTTCCAAACCTGTAATTATTTCTTTCTTCTGTTGAACATAAAAGAAGATACTTTGAGGAATGTTGGTAACCAAACTTTTATTTTTTTCAATACTATGGAAGTTACTGGGGACCAGCAGCTGTTTAGTTACCTACATTCTTCAAAGTATCTTCTTTTGTGTTCAACAGAATAAATAACTTTATGCAGGTTTAGAACAACCTGGGTAAATTATGACAGATTTTTAATTTTTGGGTGAACCATATCTTTAAAGTGACAGACAGACCCGTGCTTCTAAAGGTATAGGCCTATTGCTTTATTAAAATTTGGATAGTCTGTTAATATAATATTCCATACATTAACAGAGCTTGGTAGACATCATTTTATTTTTAGACATTATTAGACAGATGAATTAATAGATTATAATTAATGTTAGACCCTATTTATTAATTTATCATTTATAATAATAATAGATATATACATAAAAATAATAATATATGTCATAGACAATTTGGCATTTTAAAAAGTTAAAAAATGCTAAATTATTTAGATAAAAAAATGGGACAAATAATTACATAATAATGTAGTCCTAATTTAAGAAAATGAAAAAAAAATATATATATATTTTAAAAATGCATCCCATCCAGGTAACAGCTGCAGAGCTGTCAAAAAAGACTAATAATAATTAATAATTATAAATAATCCAATTTAAAATAGCAATATTAATGTGTTCTGTTGCAAGTTCACATACTTGAGCATGTTTTCTCATGATTTATTGTTGAGCTATGAGTTCCTCACTGATTATTCATGATTATTGTCATGATTATGATTTTTTTTTTGGGGGGGGTGAATGGGTGTCCCTTATTTTTCCTCGCTGAAGGTGGCAACCCTAAGGGTCACGGAAGTCAATAATGTGCACATATATCCACTAACACATTATACATAACATTTGTAACTCTTTTTAGGGTAACTCATTACGCGGGGGACGTGTCCCCCCCCCACTTTTTGTCACAGTGTCTGGTTGTGGTGACCTGGACTGGCCACTTGAGGTCGCTCTCCTGTTTCTTTTACGGCACCATTGGTTGTATTTGTTATATATTGCATTTATAAGTTATGTCAGCTCAGGTTTGCTCTGTGGATGTCTTGTTCCTGCTCTCTTTCAGTGAGGTCCTGACTGATCATTTTGAAAGGAACAGATATTGTCTGTTTTATCTAAACGTGGAGTTTGCAGTGCTTGTTTAGGGTTATGAGAGGCATATGATCATGGATCTGGAGAATCAGCAGTCATCTAAATGAGAAGTGCCCTTGCAGGTTTGACTCAACTGCAACCCTCTTCTACAGTGTTCCCCAACCCTGTTCATGGAGACAGGTTTGAGAAGCACTGGGCTATAATATAAATAGAAGAGAAAAACAGGTTAATTTTGCCCTCATATCTTGCATATCATATTAAGCAGTGACTGCTTGGGCTCTCAAAGTATGTTAATGCTTGGTCTTTGCAAAGTGACTAACACTTGATAATGTCAGCTTGCACACCATTAAAACTGCAATTACGATACTACAGTAAACAATACATATTGCACACCCCTAGTTCCACCTGGACGCTTTTTAACTTCAGAGAGGAAAGCCTTGCATCATGCTCTTTACTCAGCTACTGCATGCAGTGTGAGATGATGGGGGCAGGTTTATGTTAAATGTGTTATCATCATCATTGTTATCACCATTTTAATGCATTATTTTTTTCCCCCCAAAATTACACCTAACATATTAACAGCCCTAACATAACATAAATATAAATATACAATTGTAAATGTTGAACTAAAAATAGTTTATGGCATTTAAACTTTGTTGATTAGAAATCCATACATGTAGCTGTAATAATTACCTGTTTTAATATTTTTTTTATGATTTGAATGAATATAAACATGAATATAGGCAATGCTTCAGGGAGAACGACATCTGTTTGTCTGTCAAATGTGGTTCTGTGAATGTGATTTTTTTCACATGCAGTTCCATATGTTCACCACTAGATGTCCTTCATAGTCCTAATAGTTTCTCTTGTAACCACTATTCTTCATTGGTTCATTGGATCATAGTTGTTATCTTGTAACACAGTTCTGTATTTAATTTTGGAACTGATTGATTGCTGGCCTCATTAATCTGAGCTTATGGACCTCAGCTTTTGAGTGAATATTGCTTCTCTCTTTTTTTTTCACTCAAAAACTGAGGTGCTTCATGCTATAGCCCAGAGACTGAAGGATGACAGCCTTGTTAAGTCCGGTGCGGGTAAGGGAGAGTGGGATTTTTATTTGAGCAGTATGTTCATTTACTAAAGGTTAAAGGATTAGTTCACTCCAAAATAAAAACTCTGTCGTCATTTACTCACTTCAGGTACTTCCAAACCTGTATGAGAAGATAGTTTAAAGAATGTTGAAATAACCGAACAGTTGACTGTAGCCATTGACTTATTTTTTTTCTGTACTATCGAAGTCGGTGGTTACTGTCAACTGTTTGGTTAACAAAGTTCATCATAATTTCTTTGACCCTTACCGTATAAAGAAAAGGTAAATGAGCTTGAGTATGTGATAGCTACATCTGACACAAACAAAACATTCTATGCTATATTGCCATGTTTAAGTCACACTTTGAGAAACCAAGTCAGCTATGTTAACGGTTTCACCCACATATTCTTCATTGATGAAGGACGCTGTCCAGTGCTGATTTACCTGATGATGAGACGCTGTCCAGTGCTGAACCCATTGTGTTCTATTGTTACTGATAGAGCTGTTAGTCACTCTTGAGGGGGAGGTTGAGGCTGTTGATTTTCCAGTTACAGTACTAGTGGTGAGAAAGTTGAAAAGTCTGAAAATAAGTCAAAATCCCTCCGGCTACCAGTATGTATGGAACAGACATTGCATTACTTGTGTGCACTCACTAATGCCCACAAAACCTTATTTTGGGTAAAAAATAGGAAAAATAATACTTCTAATTCTCTAATTCTCGAAGTTTTTCTCCAGTGTAGATTAGTTTTTTCTCTCTCAGTAGATGCATAAGATTTCCTGACAAAATTACGAAATTACTGTTAAAGATTTTTAATCATAATAATTTATAATAAATCCTTAGACCTTTCTGAACAAATATAGTTATAGGCAAACCTGGTGTTCTTTATCATTTCTGGCAAATAAAGAAAGTTTATCTGAAATCTTTCTAGTTACGGTTCAGATTTTGTTGGTTCAGATTTCGGAATTCATTGGATATTGCCTCTCAGAATAGTCTCTCATAACATCACGAAGTCTCGTTACACATCAATGCTATTTTTAATTCATTTGAAAGGAAAGAATGATTAAAGTGAATGAAAGGGAGATTCAAGTGAAGTTGTGGTATAAATAGAATCCAAACGGTATCTTTCCAGAGAATCAGAATCAGAATCAGAATCAAAATCAGAAAGAGTTTTACTGTGTTTACACACACACAAGGATTACATATTGTTGTCAGAAATAATGTAGGTTCTGCCTGCTATACATCAAGCATC